CCCCCACGGTCAAACCCTATGCTTCTGGTGTTCTATTTCGCATGAAAATCATCTTTTGACTTAATAATCTATTTATTACCCGCGATGTTTTTCAGGCTTCTACTGAAGCTCTTTCTGATGAATTGAAGACCATCAAACAGGAGCTAGATAAATTACACAAGATGCTTCGATTAAAGGTATCGCTGCAATATGACTAATGTCAGTAGTAAGAACGTCGCCACCCGGTTGGCTCAGTTTGTTGCGCACTGGCCTGTTGTGCGGGAAGTCATGGGTTCAACATTCAGGGTCTTAAAATATCTGAGTATAGAAGGTGCTGTCTTCGCTTAAAAGATATCTGCAAACAGTTATTCTTTGACTGTGGCTGTATAACCACTTTAAATGGCCATCCCGTCTCTTTTATGAGCGTCATAGGGCCACAAGTAACACCCCTCTTAAAGTAAAGTTGGTTTGGTTTTACTTTGGTTCTACTTTATTATTTTCTTTCCAGTATACCCCTTGCAGCACGTAAGAAAGCAGCTCAATTCGGAGGATATAACAATAGGTTTCCAATTCTCAGGAGATTGAAATTCTTTTGTTTTAACCTCCAAATTTAGCTGCTTTGACGTCACATGCAAGGGTTCTATATGAAATATTAGGGACTTTAAGATTTGCAAAATCTACGACGGCGACGTCAACCGGAAGTGTAAATAATTTCTCTTTGGGGTTTTGTTCATTGGAGATTTCATTCAAAACATTGTCAGTAAAGTCAACTAATCCACAGGGAAGACAGACTTTGAAGGCGCGAAACCCCAAAGTGAAGTTATTTACACTTCCGGTAGACGTCGCTGTCGCAGATTTTGTAAATCTTAAAGTCCCTATATTTGGGGTCCAACCACATGACTCAAAAATCCCTTGAGCTTGTTATTTAATTAACGACGAAAAAGCCGCCATTTTGATTGATCTATCAAGAGAAGCTAATAAACAATGCTTCGTTATCGTCAACCAAGATGGCGGCTATGACGTAACATGTACCCCAAGAATGTCTAATTGTCTAATTGTCAAAGATTCATAAACATGTTTGTATGTCAGGATGAAGAGTTGGAGACACAGACTAGTAAACTACAGGATAAACATACTCAGGTAAGAGAGATATTTTTGTTAGGCGTAGTGTCGTAGTGGGAGTCCCAGAGTTGGTGAGAATAGCTGGCACAGGAACCCCATCAGCTCTTGAGGTCCATGAAAGGCATGACTAACTTACAGCCAATTGAATAAAGGTTTTGCACCATCACCTGTCCATGCCTATGATATAGCTTGGGATACCTGTGGCTAGATAGCAGAACAATAACATCACTTTTCTCCTGGAAACTGAATTCTTTCTCGTGTAAAACGATTGTATTGTTCCTGCCATCTAACATGGCTGTCGTCACGTGGTGGTGCAAAACCTCTATTAAAATTGCCCTATTTCATAATGACGTCACGGTTTGTTTACATCGGCTAAAATGATAGAAATTTCAAGGCTAAATGTAAGCTTAATTCTCTTCTTTCGAGATATTTAGCGTAATATTTATTATAAAATAACTGTTATGAATGTCGCGTTCTGATTGGCTTGGAGCGCGTGCTTCATGAGAGCACGTCTGCACGCGCGCGCACTTTCCGTTGCGTYATTCCTATCTATTATTGTAATTCGTATTTTATAAAAGAAATAAAAAACTTGCTTGCTGTGCTGTGTGCCGTTATAAAGCACTTGGGGATTGGCAGAACACTCGAGAAGTGTCAAGAAGTATTCCGCTACGCGTCGTGCTTCTCCTAACATTTCTCTCGTGTTCTGCCAAACCCCGTGTGCTTTACGACTGCACACGGCACGCGCGCGCGTTTTCTATTTCTTCAGTTGTTCTTGCCTTCAACAGCTCATAAACCAAATTTCATTGTGATTTAAGATGTGTTGTTGTCATTCCATCCCCCTCCAGCGACCATGATCCCTAGCGTTAAAACAATAGTTTGTTTTGATGTGACGTCATTATGAAATAGGGCAATTTAACTCGTTATTTTTTTCTGAGGGAGAAAAGCCAAAGAACGGAAAACAACCTTCGAATGTAGGGAGAGACCTAACAAACTCTACTCACATGTGATGCTGAGTCCAGGAATCAAACCCAATTTAGACCCAGGAGAAAAACCCTTGAATCAAGAGAGAGACCTAACAAACTCTACTCACATGTGATGCTGAGTCCAGAAATCAAACCCGAGAGGTGAGAGGCGAGTGTACTACCGCTACACCACCCTTGATTCCTTAAAACCGTAAACAGTTACATTACCTTACCATTTAGTTCCTCTGTTGATAATATAAAGAAAGCTAACTTCGTTCTAAACGTATCTTTGAATCGTTTTTTCAGTCAACAAACTGAAGAAGATCGACAACTACTAAACAAAATAAACGAGTTCTTTAAAAGAGGTGAAAATGACTTAAATACATTAAAACACTCAATATCACTCAATAAAATCCTGCTTGGAAAAAATAAAGATATATATATAAATTAATAATTAATTTGTAAAAGAAGAAAAAATCACACTTTAAACCCACAATAAAGTGATACCTCTATTAAGCGGACAGCTTGCTTCGCGATCCCGAAATTTTATTTCCATATTTACGATAAAACAGACCTCTATTGAGGGGACACCCCTTATTAAGCGCACGCAAGGCAAGGTCCTGGTGTTCATCTTAGTTTGACATCTCCCTTAAAACAGTCCCAAAATTCACTGTACACCGTTTATTAAGAGGACAGTCCGGACAGTCCCTGAGGTGTCGGCTAATAGAGGTACCACTGTATTTACAGTAAAACAAACCTCTATTGAGCAGACACCGTTTACTTTAAGAGGACAGTCCGGACAGTCCCCGAGGTGTCAGCTAATAGAGGTACCACTGTATTTACAGTAAAACAAACCTCTATTGAGCAGACAGCGTTTATTAAGAGGACAGTCCGGACAGTCCCCGAGGTGTCGGCTAATAAAGGTACCACTGTAGTCTTTATTGTAGGGCATATATAAGCATGTTAAAGATATTAAAATTTATATAAATTTTCTTAAAATTTCATTAAATAAAGAAAATGAACATTAACGTACCTCCCGTAAAGTCTTAGATGTCTTGTCGTTCGTGTATGACCGACTAGAGCAGAACCTTCTTATTCTCGAGGCAATTGGTGGGGTGATATTCATTTTTAAACAAGTTTGCTGCAAATTTCCTAGCCCTTCCCCAATTATGATAATGCCTTCCATAAGAATGTATCATGACGTATGGGATTTCCCCTCGTCTAACATTCAGTAATATTATTTCAGTTGAACAGATTGAATAAGGAAAATACGCAGTTGAAGAAGAGCTTTGCTGACATTGCAAGTAAGACCTCAGCGAGGTTAGTAGTATTTCTAGTTATGGTTTTAGCATCATGTGCATCATAATCATTAACACCATCGTCGTCATCATCATCATCATCATCATTGTCAGTGTTAGGGCTATCGGCATCATAATTCTCGCCTACCGTCATCACTATGATCCTCATCATTACACCATCATCGATCATCCTCATCATTATCATCAGAGTCAAAGTCCTCATTCTCACTCACCATCATCATCATCACCGGCATCATCTCTTTCAGACTTAAGTCTATAGGGATATGGATATCGCTATTGTCGTCATCATCATCATCGAAATCTTCATCCTTACCCATCATCATCATCATCATCAACGGCGTCATCTCTAACAAATTAGATCTATAAGAATATAGATATCGCCATTGTCATCATCATCATCATCAAAGTCATCATCCTTACCCAACGTCATCATCATCATCATCATCATCACCGGCATCATCTCTTTCAGACTTAAGTCTATAGGGATATGGATATCACTAATGTCGTCATCATCATCATCGAAATCTTCATCCTTACCCATCATCATCATCATCATCACCGGCGCCTTCTCTAACAAATTAGATCTATAGGAATATAGATATCGCCATTGTCATCATCATCATCGTCAAAGTCTTCATCCTTACCCAACGTCATCATCATCATCATCATCATCATCACCGGCGTCATCTCTATCAAATTAGATCTATAGGGATATTGATATCGCTTTTGTCATCATCATCATAATCAAAGTCTTCATCCTTATCAACCGTCATCATCATCATCATCACCGGCATCATCTCTATAGGTCTATAGGGATATCCCCATTGCCATCATCATCGTCTTAATCAACTGTTCATATATTTTTGTCTTACAGGAACCTCGTAATATCAACTCTACGAGACCAGCTTGAAGAACAAACCCAAAGAATCAACGAACTAGAACACGAACTTGTCTCTAAAAACCACCAGGTGCAGTAGCTTGCTTATTTTGAATAGTCTTGATGATATGTATAATTTGTTTCCTTTGGATATATGTAGCGGCACCAGCTTTTGCCAGTGGTATTTTCCAGGAGAATCTGAAGGCGCGATTTACATTGAACAATTTTCTCTGCAACTTGTCTCGCAACAGCGTTGCGACACAAGTTGCAAGAGTGTTTATACTGTGCAACGGAGACTTGATATTGGCCAAAAGTAGAAACGAATTCTGCTTTTCGCAACGATTGCTGCAACTTGTCTAGCAACATTTTTTGAAATTGCGCTGTGGGGTACACGCCGCAATGCTCCATGCAAGTTGTGACGCAACGCCGTTGCGAGACAAGTTGCAAAGGAATTTGGTCCGTGTAATCGCGCCTTTACTACAGAGGTTTTCACAGAAGCCCGGTTCTTATGGGCAGAACAATAGAAATTTCCCTATCTGGGAAATAAAGTAAAATCTCTTTTTTGCAAAAACATTACATTGGCCTTGAACTTCAACAACACAATTTCTTTGTAAGTTGCAGAGCAAATGTTGGTCTGAGGTAGTAGAGTGCATACCATATGTCCGTGAAAAACTTCAAGAAATTGCACAAATGAGACAGCAAACATACAGTAGACCTCAGTAGACCGTAGACCTCAGTAGACCGTAGACCTCAGTAGACCGTAGACCTACAAAACCTTGCACTTTCGTTAGTTACCTTTTTCACGGACATATGGTACGCACTCTACTACCTCTGAGCGGAATAGATTTTATATATTGAAAAGAGGAGAGCTTCTACCTCATTGAGCAAAGAAAATTTGTTGCGCGCAAAATAATGATGCGGCAACAAGCATTCGCTCTGCAACTTGCCACGCTATAATGCTGCGTGACAAGTCACACATCATTGTCACTCTTTCCTTTTATTGTGTAGTATGAAGAACTGCGTGACAAGTCACACAACATTGTCACTCTTTCCTTTTAT